CCTTGTGGTTCTAAAAAGGAGGTCCCTTGTTTCCTTGCTGGCTGTTGCCTGGGGCTTCTTTAAGCTCCTAGAGGCTGCCCACATTCCTTGCCATGACTCCTCTCTGTCTTCATGCCAACAATGGTGACTCAAACTGTCTTGTGCCCCAAATCTCTCACCTCCTCCCCTAAAACCAGCTAGAGAAAACTCTCTGCTTTAAAAGCACACATGTGATTAGGTCAGGTTCACCTGGATAATTTTTTTTTTTTACCTTAAGGTTAACTCTACCATCTAACACAGCCTAACCACAGGAGTCAAATCCATCACATTATAGTCCCAGGGACGATGCCCAGCATGAACACCAGTGGGGCAGGAAATCTTAGGTGCCATTTTAACACTCTGCTTACCATCCCTCCCATTCCCAAATCTGAGTTAAAAGCCCATGTTCCTCCTGGTATTCAAAGCCACTTGGTAGTATATTTAGACCAAGGTTGTTTGGGGCTGACAGTATAACATCAACAGATGAGAGATGGAAATGAAATCATTCTACTTCTGTTCTGCTTCCATGACTCTCATCCAAAAGAATGCCCTGTGAATTCTAACACATATTGGGTACTCAATAAATATTTGTCGAATGAACTATGGATTGGACAGAGGAGAATAAACATTTGTAAGGGTAAATGAAAGGCTTAACATAAGAGGTAAATAGATTCTAAATGATGATCTAGCTGTTTCAAAAGAGATTCTTTCCAGTTCTGAATGAATTACATTCCTGAGTCCTGAGAGAATAATAGGTGAGGTTACTGCAGAACCAACTCAATATATGTTTGTTGAATAAGTGAGTGGACAAATTCACTTTGTTTGGTGATCCTCTGTGGGACGAGGAAGCCTGTGCACACACCTCTCTTTCCACCAGTCGCCACAATGCTAAGTTGGCAGCATATTTTCTTTCTTGGTGATACTGCAGGGAAGCTCTCAGAGATGTTCTCTCCTGCATTTCATTAAATGTTAAGCATATTTTAAAAAACACAATCTCTAAAATGGACAGATTGAGCATGACAAGTGAGTTCATATAGAAAAACTGAAAATGCTTTTTAGAAACATATCTACCTTGTACTACACTGAGCTTCTATAAACTGTACATGCGCACATGTTTTTATAGGTGTGTACCTATCTATATTACTCATTGTCCCATAAGTGTTAGTTATTTTTTCCTGTGGCTCCATATAGATTCACTTCCAAAATATCTGGTTATAATAAGTCTGTTTAATTACATATAAAATACACATATCCAGGGTTAATTCAATCAGTTCTAATTTCAGATAGCTCTTATTCTTTAATCTAAGAACATATTAAAGTGTAATTATACTGTGATAAAGTGCAATGTGAGAACTTCAATCACTTCATCATAAATACATCTTCCTTTGGCCAAAAGAATTCTGAGGATATTTTAACATATGTAATGCTTTTCTCATCCTGTGGTACATTTGTAAAATGGTAACTCAGTAAGAACAATTTTGTCATAGCAATAAAAAGTACCAAAGGTCTATTATAAACAGAATACTACCAACACATAAGTAGCACAAAAAAGAGGTGCCAGAAATATTAGTTATTACTGTGGAATTTATGTACAAGTTACATATACACAGGACAGAATTAGAGAACAAGATTTTATACGTGTTTTAAAGGCTGTTAGAACTGGAAGAAACTCCAGAGATTACAATGACCTTCTATTTCAGAGATAAGGACATTGAGATGCAGAGAGGAGAAATGATTTACCGAAAGCCGTAGAGCTGATTTAGTGAAGTCAGTTCTCACAGCTGTCTAACTCAGTGCCGGTTACATGTGTTGCACTGCAACTCATGCTAAGAAATACACTTTACGTACATGTATTTCTCTGACCCATGGGTACTGTTGAATATAAAACACATCATTATTATATATGCCACTAAAATGGAAAAGATACTATCTAGTACGTGATAACACATTGCTAAGATACCCTGAACTGGAAGATACATTCCAGTTTCAAAAATGCATCTGAATACAAATTTACACAGATATTATATAATTAAAACAGAACTTTTACATGTGATATTATCTACTGCATTCGATTTACTGTTTTTAAATGATGTCATGGGTCCCTGGGTTCACTTTTTTACCCAGTAAGGAGGGGATCTGACCCAAACACTCAATCATGTATTGCAGATACACTGTAATCAGAAACTTTTAACGTATGCAACCAAGGTGCTAACTGTTCGATTTGATAGTAAGTATAGAAGAAGAAAAGAAATAGTTTCATGTGGACAAAAACTACCTGAAAAGCTTTCAAATTAGAAATAAGAACTTACACTTGAAATATGGTGAGATAAAGAAGAGGAAGTAAACAACTGAGCAACATAAACTGAAAAAAGAAAACCCTCAAATGTAAATGTAAAAAAATTCACTCTTTAAATTAAAATATAACCACTTAACTTAAAATGTATAACACCACTTTTAAAATCTCAAATAATTTCAAAGAGGAAAACAAATTTTAATGTTTCCTTTACAGAAAATACACAGGAACCTGAAAAAATTAAATACAAAACCGATGCAGTACTTTTCCCTGTTCTTCGTTAAAAATTCAAAAGGGGTCAAATAGTCTGACAGATAAGTGACAGTGGCAGGTCATTCTCTCAACCCCAAGTTCTCTGTGCTTTACTTACAGTCAAGGATTAATACAAAAATAAAATTTTGGAATCAATTCCTTGCTGGCCCACGTGAATATGAAAAACAACCAAACCAAAAAAAGTGTAAAACATGCTGGTTGAAATATTCAGTGATTACTGTTACATTCAACCTCAGACTTTTATTTGTGGTCCTTGCAAAAAGGACAACAAAAACATATACCCAGAAGTCCATTTTGCATGTGTGTGTGTGTGTGTAAAACATGCACACCACAGTACCGGTGTAATCACATTTAAAAATGTGCAAATTTGGCAGTGAGACAATGTCACTATAATCGTTAGTATGTGAAATCTCAAATGCTTTGATGAAGATACCATCTTTCAGCCAAGCCCAGGTAGAAAACCTTTGGTTCCTGTTAGACCCCTCCCTCCCCAGTCAGCTGCCGGGCTCCAGCGTTCTGTCCAGAGGGATGGGAGCTCTCCTTTCCATCGCAGCTAAGCCTTCCCAGACTCAGGAGAAACCCCGGATTCCTGCAGGGCACTCGTGCAGCGGAGTCTCCCAGCTCTCCAAAGGGCAGCTGGAGACGGATTTAAAATGGCAACGCCGACCAATCAGCGCCGTTGCGCCGTAGCAGGACCGTCACACGCACCTCCTCCTCCGCTCCGCGGAACCTGGCGGTGCCTAACTCCCTGCCTGGGGCTGTAAAGTAGGCGTTTTAATTCCACGGTGGTCTGTATTTTTTGGGGGAAAAAAATTCTTCCTTGAGTGAAAGTTTTTATTTTGGAATTAATCCAAAATAATTTTGGGTTTGATTTGTGAAAATCTGAACTTAATTGTTTTCAAAGGTTTTTATTCAAGGATGAAAAGAGGCGCATTTAAAAATGTCCTCCACCTTTTCAAAACGGACTGTGTTCACTATTGTACTCACATAACTCTGAAACGGCCCAAGCTATAAAATTAGGACTTGGAGAAGGGGAGTTCTTAAGGAGAAGGTTAAATTAAGGTGAATGGATGGGAGAGGTGGTCATCGGGCACATTGCGGTGTTAGGAAGCTTACAAGGCACCCGCTCGGGGCACACCTTTTGCCCTGCAAACGTTGGGATTCAGCGCACAGCGCCAGCCGGGGTGGTGGTGGTAGGGGGGGCGGTGGTAGTAGTTGGGGAACTCCGCGTAGCCTCTAGTCACTCCCCGAGAAAAATGAAGATGCTGGTGTGCTCCGAGTGCGTTTGTGCACATTGTTTGCACGTGTGCCTGCATCTGCGAATGTGCATGCGCATCTGCGAATGTGCATGCATATCTGCGTGCATGTAAGTTCGCGAATGTTTGTTTATCCGTGTGTCTGAGCATGCATGTGCCTGTGCGAGTGTGCACGTGTGTATCTGCCTGCACGTCTGCGAGTGTAAGTGTGCGAGCGCGCCGGGTCCTGCGAGCCGTGATGAGGGCATTCCGAAGCAGGGCAGGGCTGACGGGGGCCCGCTCCTAGTCCTTTTCAGTGCCTTCCCACTCACAGGGACCTAGAACTTCGTTGCGCTTGCAGTTAAACGCTTCCTGCAGAGTGCTGGCTCCGCATCGTGGAGGTGCAGGTAAAGGCTAAGCCCCTAATCTCCGTTCTACTGCAGTCACATTCCCGCGCCCTCCGACAACCGCCCCCAGGCGACCTAGGGCGGCGGGCGGGGCGAGGCCCGCGGCCAGTCGGTTTGGGATCCCCGCCTGTCCCTTTAACCCCGCCGCCAGGCAGGCGAGAGCACGTGAGCCGGGCTCCGGGTGGCACCCGGGCGCCGCCGCCGCCGAGGCAGTTGTATTTCGAACGCTGCCTCTGGCCCGCGGCCAGGCGCCTTGGCTCGGCGGTCTGCCCGGCCTCCCTCCTCCTCATACTTTTCCTCCTGCGCAGCCCCCTCCCCTTTATCCGCCCACGATTAGAGGTGGGCACTACTCCTCACCCCCCATCCCGCCGCCCCCTCCACACACACACGCGCGCACACACACACACACACACACTCATCCCACTTGAATCTTGGGGGCAGGAACTCAGAAAACTTCCAGCCGGGGCAGCGCGCACTTGGTGCAGGACGCAGGAGCGAGCAGCCGGGTCCCCCTCCGGCTCTCCCGCTTCGCTGCCGCCAGCTCTCGCTACCCAAGGACACGCGGTGCCACCCACTGCTCGTCCGCTGCCCGTGCTCAGTGCCCGAGCCGGGCTCAGCAGAATCCACCCATCCTCCCTTGCTTTCCGACTGCCCAAGGCGCTATTTGTTTTCTCTCTCTTTCTCTTTCTTGCTCTGCGAGCGCGAAGTGGGGGCGGGGGGGGAAGAGGAGGAGGAATTCTTTCCCCGCCTAACATTTCAAGGGACACAATTCACTCCAAGCTCTTCCCTTTCCAAGCCGTTTCCGAAGTGCTCCCGGTGATCGCAACTCCTGATCCTAAACCGAGAGGGACGCCTCCCAACTTCAAACCCTCTTTTTCTTCTCCCTCGCTTTCCTCCTCCTCTCAGTACCTCCACCGCCACCACCACCTCCGGCACCCACCCACCGCTGCTGCAGCCACCAGCAGCGCCTCCTTCTCTCCTCCTCCTCCCCTCTTCTCTCTTTTTGGAAGCCGCTGGACGTCCGGTGTTGATGGTGGCATCTGTGGCAGCCTAAGCAGCAGCCCTCGCAGCACCCAGCTTTCTCTCATCCCGCCTGATTCTCCAGCCCTATCAACCGCTCTCGCCAGAGGTGCTGGGCCGATTGGGGGCGGCGGAGGCGAAGCAGCTGCAGCGGCGTTAGCAGCGGCGGCGGCGGGAGGCAGGATGAGCGCACGCGGTGAAGGCGCCGGGCAGCCGTCCACTTCTGCCCAGGGACAACCTGCCGCCCCGGCGCCTCAGAAGAGAGGACGCGGCCGACCCAGGAAGCAGCAGCAAGTCAGTAACGTCCCCGGGCGGGGTGGGAGCTCCAGCCCACCTCCGCTCTCTCTGCGAGGGCCCCGGAAAGCGCGGAAGTCCAGTCGCCGCGGCCGCCGCGCGCTGCCCGCCAGCAGGGGGGCAGGCTGCGGTGTCCCGTGCGCTGCGGAACCCCGGGGCGCCCGCGCCCCTCTGGACCGGGAGGTGGGGAGCCTCTGCCGGCAGCCGGACGGAGGAGGGAGGTGGGGTCGGGCAAAGCTCGTTCGGGCAAAGCTCGTTCTCGGATTTTCACTATTGTGCACCCCTTGAGTGTCTCGGTAGCTCCCGATGACTGAACGCGGCCCGGGTCCGACAATCCGGGGCTCCCCAGGAGCTTTCCGAGCCCCTTTGTAATTGTCCAGGGGAAAAGAAGTGCCGGGGGGCAAGAGTGCTCTGGAGGGGCAGCGCTGGAGGGGCCGAAGTCCTGGGGGCCTTTGGCTCTTTCTCCCGCCAATCGGGACTGCTCGCGGGCCCGGGTCTGGCAGGCAGCAGCCGCCCCCTTGGCGCCTTCCCCAAGCTCTCGGTGGCCCGAGACTCGCGCCCTCCCGACAAAGAACTCGTGGGCCCGCCGGGTCCTCTCAGGGCTCTTTAAATGCGGCGCCGCCGCCGAGGTGTCCTTGGGAAGGGGCTAAAAAAGAGCCCGGGTCCGCAAAGGACGGGATTAGTTCATTTGACCAAGGGCGCGGTGGAAATTAATGTCCGAGAGGGTGCACCGTAGTTTAGGGTCACTTCCTCGCCAAGCGCCCAGTCTCCCTTTTGCCCCTGGATCCCGCGCCTTAGAGCTTCAGACATTAAATGTGTTACTTTAGGGCCATTGGCTGGGGGTTGGGAGGGGACGATCAAGGGGCACCCTGGACCCCGCGGAATGGAAGGTTTTGTCTGAGGATGCAACCAATTAAGCTTGCAGCCGGCGCTTGCAGGGCTGAGCGCAGCACCCAGGGCGGGGGGGTTTTGTTCGCTGAAATTTCCAAGCCTTGGCGGGCATGGCTGGAGCGGTACTTGGCTATTGAGGACATTTATACTCCGCTTCCTCAAGCTTTTAAAACTTCTTCATTCCTTAGCTTTAAAGCACTTCCTTTATGGCAAATCGGCCGATTAGAAAATTATCCTAGAGTCCCAAAGCTGCCCGAGAGCAAGGTGGGGATATCGTACAATGTTTGCTTGCCAGCGCGTTTTTTGTTTGTTTGTCTTTTTTTTTTTTTTTAATAACTAAGAGGGTTGTACCTTTTGGAAATCATCAAAGGAAACAAGCCCATCTAGAGGCCCCCTAGCTTTCCCGCTCTGCCCAAGCGACACATTATACCGCATTAGGATCCTGTTTTACACCTCCCAGGAAGTCTCTGCCCGTCCCCCCGCCCTTGTTTCCCACCCGCCACCCAGCTTTCTCTAGTTCTTCTAATTGCCTCCAACCTCCAAAAAATAATCCAGGAGAAATTGCAGTGGGGGCTGGAGGTTATTGGAGGTTTTACCTTTGAGTTAAGGCAGAGTTCACAAAGAAAGGAAAATGTGTCTCCGATGTGTTTGCTCCGGATGTGCCCACTGGCGCTAGTGGTCCCAAAGAAGCTTTCAGTTACCTTCCCCAGATTCTCTAAGTAGGATGCGAATTTTCATTGAAGACTTTCATTAGTTTTAAGCTAATTAGTATCATTTAATCACCAAATCTGAATGAAATGAAATTGGTGATTCACTGGGTAAATATTGAGGAACCGGAATATTAATCATCGTATTCTCTTAAGCACTTGAGTATTTTACTACTTGGCATAGAAGCCATTTAAAGTTTTGCTAAACCTATTGATCATTTCAATTTCTTCTTCCCAGACACTTCCAGTCCAACTCACTCCCCTGTCTTTTGTTTTCTCTGGTTCACCCCCCCTAGGAATTTTAGGAGTTCTCTCAAAAGAAAGTTTTGTAGAAATTGTTCATTTATACCAATAAAATATTTAAATTTAGACTAGAGTCCATGCCTGGATCTCCAAAAGGAAGTGGAGATTGAAGCAATTATCTAGATAATTCAAGCAAAACCTCCCACAACAGATTTACCATAATTATTTGGAAATTTTAAGGGGAATGGAGTTATTTTGAGATGAAGAACTTGGGTAATTGCTCCAATACTTCACTCAATGTGTTGACTGACAATGCAGATATATAGATGTGATTAAAAACCATCGCTTCAGTGGGGAAGATTGTTAAAAATATTTATGATGTTAGCTTGGTATTTCCGTTTGAGATGCTAGTACAATGCTTAATAGTATTTGTGTAAAATGCTAATTGTTGAGTTGCCAAATGCGTAACCATTCAACTTTTTCACCTCAAAAACGTATGACTTTCTGTTTAGAACATGCAAACTTGTCATCCTTTGTTACTTTTGTAGGGTTGAAATAGAATCTAGTTTTCATATGTAAAATACACTTTCCTCTTTGAACCCTTGGATTTAAAGTATAGTTATTTCCTCTTTCTCTTAACTCTGTACCCTCATCACTATTTATACTTGAACGGAATGTGTTCCAACAGTTTGGTGGAGCAACACATGAAGAAATATAACTATAGAGTCAGGGTCAATTTCTTGCAGACATTCTTGCCACAACAGCATTTTTTTCCCCCCACAATTAGGAGCCAACTGGTGAGCCATCTCCTAAGAGACCCAGGGGAAGACCCAAAGGCAGCAAAAACAAGAGTCCCTCCAAAGCAGCTCAAAAGGTGAGATTTCTCAAGTCCTCCCAACTTTCTCAATGACCACAGGAACTCCCCTGTAATTTTCCCATTCTAGATCCACACTTAAGGATTTGTCTTAACTTGGCTAACCCAAGACTCATTTCCTACCCTTCTTATTAGTAAGATTTCTAAGCAAGTGCATAGCAGAAAAAGTTCATGAGAAAGTTAACGAAGAGGCTTCAGTGTTTTTTTTAAACAAGCAATCACCAAATAATATGAAACTTAAAACGGAGGTGGGAGGGGGGAGGAGGGGGAGTGAAGAATAACACCATTAGGAATTGGGCCAGTTGTGAAATAGTTAAATACAAATCAGGACTATAGGTTTTGCAATTTCCTTTAAAAATAATAAAGATTAATGTACTTTGTGCTTATTTACAAGACTACTGCAGATCCAAATCCCCCTATTAAAGTTAAGTGCTTTGCCAAATAGACAATAATTAGAAGTAAATCCAATTATGGGATACTGGAAAAAAATTTATGAATTTTACAGCTGTAAATTTGATGATAAAGTGTACTGTTTGTTTACAATAAGTTTGCAGTATAACATATCAAAATCTTCTAAAAAGCCTTTCCGCTAGGTGGTATAGAAATGCTTTAAATGGGGCAAAATGAAAAGTTTTTCTTAAACAAATATTTGACTCACATACTGTATTTTAGGGGGCCAGGACAGTACCCAGTCAAGTACAACTTCCAGTGTTCTTCTTTATAAACCTTACAATTCATTCTAAAATAACTTTATGTTGCTTTTGTTTGAACTAGCAAAGAGGAAATATCTCAGGGTCCATACTTGTGTAGAGAAGTGAAGGTGACTGTAAAATTCACCTTTTTTAGCTTTATAAATAAATATGAGAAAATTCTGTATTTATCTGTAGGTTTGTTTGTTAGTTAAAAACAAAGGTTCAAAATTCAGAAGTAAATTCTGATATGTTTTTGAATAGATTTGAGTATACCATGTACAATGTTTGTTAAAAAGGACTGACAGGCTCATCTTTGGGGGATTAATGTTTTATGTGGTTTTCTCTATGATTATGGGCACTAACCATATTATATGTGATGGGTTTTATGTTGTAAACTTTCATAGCAACCAGTCATACAGATTTTGAGTGGAACTATGATTTCTTGTCTGTTTTATTTTAACAGTCCTGAACAGAGTTGAAGGGGCAGATTTCTAATATATTTAAATATAACTGCTTGTCAGAATGAAGATTTGTGACTCACATTTAATCAATAAATTTTCAAGTAGCTCTAAACTACCCTGTCATTTAGAAATGAGAATATATAATCTTATATTTCTGACAATGAGTACTTTCTGCTACATTTTATCTCACTTATTAAATTAACTAAAATGGCTAATTCAACAGGTTTTTTTTTGTATGTTGCATAGTGTAGGATTTACCTAATTTGATTTTCTTTAATGAGATGCCAGCCCTCTGGTGGGTTATCTTGGTGGGTAGCTAACAAGCAGTTAGACTATGGTGTAGTTGTTCTGAAGAAAGATGCGGTATTATAATGTCTCCCAGGAAGAAATACATAAATCTCACCATAAATGAAATATTTAAAATGTAAGTCAACAAAGAAAAAGGAATTATCTTTCAGATTTCATTTGCATTACATGATTTCCAGGGAGTAAAGAGATGCTTTCATCACCTTTTGTTTTGGACAGTTTACCACTAACAAAATCTTTAGTGACAAGGAGAGCTGACACTTGTGCTAATTGACCACCTAAAACAAAATAACAAAAAAAAGTTGATCTCTTCCCAACGAAGATTTAATTTCTTTGTAGTTACTTTTATGATAGGCATTAACAGTGACCTTCACAGGCCACTCATCTCTGTGACAGTTCTGTATGCATACATATTACAGCTTCCAAAACAAAGTAGGCTTTCTTGTTCCCAAGGAAATACTTCTCTGACATTTTTCATTCTTCCAGACAAAATTATTTCACACAATACTGTAATAAAAGTCACCCTTCTAATATAAGTGAATAAGTATATTTTCCCATAACACGACTGTTACACTTCTTTAGTTTTATAAATTACGCTTCATTTGGAGAAGATAATACTTTGCAAAACAATGAATGACATTGATAAATTGTTCATGGCATGTGTAAACTTAAGGTATTTTCACTTCCAAGTCAGTATTTATTGAGTTTGCTACTACCCTATAGAAACATGATTATCAAATATATATTTATCAAACATATATTGTATTCTAACAAAACCTATGTTTGTACTGATTTTGAAAAGGAATCTTTTAAAGAAATAGTTATATTGTTCATAACATGTAAGGTAAATATATCCTGCTAGACTGACCAGAGTAGATATGAGAAGTCTTCTATGATTAATAAATTGGATATTCTCCTGAGAACTGAGGCTCATCAAAATGAAAACTATATAACAAAAACTGGTAAGTATATAAGAGAATAGAACTCTAAAATTAGAGGAGATGCAGTAAACAGTGGAATCCTGAAGATAAGTGTTTAAACTTTCTTGCAGTTTGGAGTTTCTTTACTTACAAAGTTTATGTTTGGTCTCAGTAACCGGCCTTGGGGCATTTGAAAACACAACTGCTTGTTGGAAAATTAGCAATGTGGAACTTCACAATGCATGTAGAGTGTTGCAGTCCAAGTATTTGACTCCTACATTAGCAATCACTTTAATTTCAGACCACATTCAATGTAAATTGATTTGTGTAATATAAAACAAACATTTCTAAAGACACTGTCATGCCTGGAACTTTTAGAAGAGCGGGTAATTCTTAAATCTGCTTATATTCCAATATGACAAATTCTCACAGATGACAATTAGGTAGCAGTTCTCTCATTCCTTAGAACTCCAATCTGAGTGCTCAAAATTTGTCCCTGAACAAGTTCCATATTGTTATCTTCATAAAAGAAACCAGAAGTTAATGTTTTCCTGAATCCATAACTTATTCGTGTGTGTGTGTGTGTGTGTCTGTGTTTGTGTGTCTTGACCTTTTTATTTATGTCTTACTTTGAGATATAGCTGTGACCAGTTGCCTCCTAATTTCATTTTTGTTTTGTTTTGTTTTCTTCTCATGTTTGTGCTGGAGGGAAACACTCTGTATTTTCACGTTACCCATGTTTGAGGAAAAGAAAGATATCTTTCTCTTTATATTAGGTTGAGGATTTTTGTTGCAGCTTGTTAATCATGAGAGAAGTCTAAAGAGGTTGTCATTAATTCTCCAGTGTTTAAGGCCACAAGTCAAATTCATGTCTAAGTCTCAAGCCAGTTCTCATTCAGGTACTTTTTAAGGGAAAATAGATTGAATCAAACCTTAATAGAAGGAAATTGCATACAAAAAAGATTTGCGTGAGGTAGTCCTACTTCATAATGTCATAGATTTTCTTGAGCTTATTTTTGACCAGATCAAGAGAGCAAAGTGCAGAGTGAAAATGTCTAGATGTATAATTCAAATGATATGTTTAGGTAGAGATTTAAGTTATATCTTCTATCTGCGCAAGCAAAGAAGGCCTGCTATTAACTGGATACTAAAAAGGCAGATTTGTGCTCCTTCTAATCACATTCCCAGAAATGTTCTGGATTTTTCATAAATGATTACTAACGCCAATCATAGATATTTTTGGATGAGAGAATGTGGGTTTTCCTCATCATTTCAGGTAAATGTTAGAGCATAATGCTGAGTGAGGACAAAATTTTTTTTCAGAACACTAGGCTCAATGAAAGAGAAGAACCAAAGGCATCATTATAGGTAAGTTGGGGAAAGATGATTTTGGAAGTTGCCATACAATTCCAGCCTATGGTTTCTACATTAGTAGTATGATTTATTTATTTATTTAAAAAGATTTTATTTATTTCCAGTGGGAGAAGAGGGGAGGGAGAAAGAGAGGGAGAGAATTATCAGTCTGTTGCCTCTCACATGCCCCCAACCATAGACCTGGCCAGCATCCCGGGCATGGACCCTGACCTGGAATTAAACTGGCGACCCTTTGGTTTGCGGGACTACCCACTGAATCACACCAATAAGGGCTGTAGCTATTATGATTTAGTGGGAAGGTAATTTCCACTGGGGTCCAGGGCCCAGTGGACATTTTATCTAAGAAGGTAAATGCATCCAGGGAGGTAGAATTGAGTAAATCCCCATTATTGTCTCCATAATCTTTGTATTTTAGACTGACTTACCTAAACAATTAACTTTTTTTTTTTTTCATTTCACGTTGCCAGGGAGGACCAAGCCTTAGTGCATCAGTAAATTTTATCTGGCAATGCCTTTGAGTCATCATAGATTATGATCCAAATGTAGGATGTTCAAGTACATTTGAATTATTTTATGAAATCACTTTATTTCAAGGGAGCCATAGTTCTCACTGTCTGCAGACTATGATTCTTCTCAGCTTTTTTCATGGAAAGCTCCTCATTACTTTGATCACAACCCTGACTTGTTTTTATCTCCAGATCTCAACAGATCTTTGTGCTAAGGAGTGAAAATATACCGGATTGATATTCTGTTGCATCTCAGTTCTTTCCTGCGAATAAATGATGCTGGAAAGCGTTTTATGTCAGTGAAGTCATGCAAACCTATCTTGTCTTGTTAGTTGACTGTCTGCAGTTTGCAGAGCTCACCTTGGAACCACATCGCTTGGCCAAGGGCGGAACAATGAATGTCGCTCTTCTAAATTCTAAAATTTTTAGTTACGAATCTTTGTTCTGCCAACCAGGAGGAAAAGGGGACTGGAGGACCAATTATATTTTAGGCTATTTTTTTATTCTCTATTGCTTTAATGCACTGAACAATTTTGAGTGGCATCTTATTGATTTAGCAAGCAGTAGTGTCTGTATAGGTGAAGAGTGGAGCAGGGTAAATAATATGGAAGTTGACAATGAGGGCTTCCTTGGGTAAAAAGAGTACAAACTTCAGTAGAGGATCGAATTTACTTATATGTCCTGTTGGAAAACATACAGAATGATGGCAAGCTTGTAACATCTTTCTAAGACTACAAATGGTCGCACTTAAACTTTAGAAACCCTTAAAACTGAATAATCAAAAAGTTGAAATGAGAACTAGTCAGTACTTAGTCTAATTGACGAGTCCAGGTGATTTTGATGTGCATGCACATTGATTTACCCTGTTTATATTTTTAAGAGAACAACTGAAAGAAATAAAATGTGACTTTTTAACCTTTGGATAGTTGGTTTCATCTGCTCCTAGGTCTTCGGGTCTTAGTCTTAAAATGATCTATCTATCCATCTTTACATACATACATATTATACATACATACATACATACACAGATACATGAAAACAAAACAAGGTCTACTATGCCTAAATATTCTTTTAGTTCTTTCTTGGGGGGGGGTTGTTATTCAGATGTATACTGATTGATTAAGGATGGGAAAGTTCTGGCTTTCATGCATTATCACAGTACACATAAAATATGATGAGAGCATTTAGGTTAGCAAACAATAGCTGTCTAACTTTGACTCAGAAGTCAGAACTGGATAATTCTCTGGCTTCCCACCCTCAGCTCCTGTCCATGTCTTTACAGGAAACTTGGAAATGTTTTACGTTTAACTACTCATTTGCTTCTCACCCCAGAAGGTTTTGATTTTTAAAAATTTGCCCATGGCTATTTTATTTTGTATGGGAGCCTCTCCCAGAAGAATAGAGCCTTTATTGCCTTGAAATTAGATTGGGTCTTAGTTCCACTGCTTATGAATGTGGGCAGATGGCTTAATCTCCCAGTCGTGAAACAGGGGAAGTATTGGGGCCACACTTAAGTCAGATGATGCTCAAAAAATCACTGTGGAAACTTCAAAACTTGGGAGGTATTTTTTAAGGGTAGCACTGTGAAATGTGGAGGGAAGAAGAAATTAAATTTGAGCCTCTACTCAGTGCTGTTGCTCTTGTCAGACACGTTCCATTTGCATCACCTTTTATCCTCCGGTGTAGACATTCTGGTCTTCATTCATCAATTGGGAAACTGACATACCTCATGTTCACCTCTAGCCAATGGTGGCTCCTGGATTTGAATTCAAATCTCATTCTGAAGCTTATGATAGTTCCTCTGCTGTAGGTGTTGTCGAATATTTTATAAACTATTTGCTAGAATGTAGACTGTTAGCCCTAGTAACCTGAAAAGCAGGCTGGAAGTTAGGTTTTGAGACACCTTTGGAGGGTAGCTGTACAAGCATGGACCGCAGAAGTGCTTTAGCTGGTACCCAGAGACTTCTGGCTCCCTGATAAACCACGGGGTTAGGCTTTTGGAGATCATAAGGGATCCAAAAGCTTTCTTGTTTGTTAAATGGAGGCGCTAGATTACATGGTTGCTAAAAGTCTTACCCAGAAGTCCTACAAAGTTGTAGCATTCTGATAGCAGGAAGGAAACAAGACATACACATGATATAAACAGCAATGTTTCTTTTTTCCTTCCTTCCCTCTTCAGCAAATGTGTAGTGAGCTGTATCTTGTGCACCAGACAAAGCACTGTTTCCAAATTCAAGAGTTATGTTTGTTCGATGAATTTCCTTTCTTAATTATTTTTTAAGTGCAGAGTGCATTTAAAAGCCTGGAGTACCAGAACTTCTTAGAGAGAGAAATAATTACATTTCCCATATAACATTCCTCTCAGCTCTTGGGAACTTGCTTCTAAGCATGTCATAAAATTAAAGATACAATTCTGAATCTAAACTTTCAAAAAAGTCAATATGAATGAAGACAAGCAAGGAAGAGGCATCACTTTTAACAAGATACAATAAGGTAGCTGCATATATTAATATAACAGTGCTGACCATAGTCTGAAATTTCAATTCTTGCAAATGTAGAATTTCCACCCTCACCCCACCTCTACCCCCCAGATAAGCAGGAAATACTTAGAATGAATTTTTGTCTCAATTATACATGGGTTTGCAGTTCAGAACCAAATTCTTCTCTGACAGAGGAAAAACAAATATACACTTCCATGGGTATTGCATATGTTGACATATTAAAAAGAAAAGAAGCCCCCAAAATGTTTTGTTTGTCCTCTATTGAAAAATAATATCCTGAATGAAGAACACTAAATACAGGGGAAAAAATTAAAGCCTGTGTTCTTCAGTATGTAAAACCCCCGAATCTATGCTAGTTTATAAACTAAAATCCTAACTTGTTTTGCAGCCTTTGTGAAGTTTGATCAGAATGATTAAATAATGTGGGTTTTAAAGAACAATGAAAGCCTCCCAGCTCGAGGCCACACAGCACAGCTAATGCGTTTCTTCTACATGTAGTCTCAGAAGAGGGTTTCAGTTTACATGGAGCACCGGCCCGAAGATCTCGGAGCAAGTTTGCTTTTAACAAATCCAAGTGACAGTCGTGATATTTTGCCCTTTCGCTAGTGGTGTGAATTTTGTTTTTGAATAGGCTTTTTGTAAATGAGATGCTCATTTTCAAATCCTTTTATTTGTAGGGCTTTCTCTCTGTTGGAGAGATTTGCTTTCTCTGAAATGCAGTGAAACCCTTTTAGAAAACAACCCTCTCTTCAACAGAATTTAGATACACCCTGAAACATAGCAACTGTGCAGAGGGAACCCGGTGTTGCTCTGCTAGTCTTTAAGGTCAACAGCCTCCTCCCCTCAACTCCACCTATCATCGCCGTGCACGCTAGGAAGGATTTCTATCTTCTGCGTTGGCGTAATTTACTACTGGGTAAATTATGCTCCCAAAGACTAACTCAGACACTGCTTCTGTATTAGGGAATTTTGTACTTCTATAACTCACTATGTACTAGCCAAAGGGTTTCTTAAAAGCTTCATTCTAAAGGTGACGGGTGTAATGGAATATTTGCATTGACTGAGCCTTCTGTGAGATTGGACTACCCTAAAGGAAAACTTTCCCTTTAAGAGTTCCATCTTAGTAGAAGGGGGAGAACATTTCTTGAGCACCTCATTCGTGGTGGGCACTTCACTCCTCACAGGAGACATTATCTCCATTTCACATATAAAATCAAATTGGGTTTTTCAGGGACCAGTCCAAAGTTCTAAAGCTATAGTGTCAGCAGGGGTTTGAATCTGAGCTTTCCAACATGGAGCTTGTGTTCCTCGTAAGATAGCTCCCTCTTTCCCTGAGACAACACTTATTAGCAGGAGAGTACGATTCACTGGACCTTCCTGGCTTTCACTTATTCTACTTCACGTCCTCATGACCGACATTAAGACATTGCCACTAACCCCCGACGATAAGTGATTCCTTTGTGCAGCCGTGGAAAAGCAGTAAACAAGCATTCAAAGTGCCTAGTCTGATGGTCAGATAGACAAAGGCTCCACCAGGCTTCCTTCGGTTTGGGGAAATTAGCCGAATCAGTGAGGATTTTAGTTAACTAAACTATCTCCTTATGGTAGCAAATGCCCAAGGAAAGGCAGCAGCACTGTTGAGAGTGTAGGAGTCGGTCCTTAGAGCCCAGCAGAACTGGGTTCAGCTCCCAGATCTGCCATTTGCCAGCTTGGTGTGTGACCTCGAGTTATTTACCTCTCCTGGCTGAAATCTAGTTGCTCATCTGCAAAATAAGAAAAATAGCCACCTTGTAAAGCTTCGTAAGGATTGAAATAACATGTGAATGACTTAGCCCTTTGGGGTATTTTAGATACTACATCAATGTGAACTAACATAATTATTCAGTGTTTGGGTTAGTTCATGGGATCTGTTGGATACTAACGCCAGACCAGGAAGCTATTTGGTGAGAAATCTTGTGGCTTTGTTTGTTTGTTTGTTTGTTTGTATCTCCTATCTGTCTATGTATCTATCTATCAGCTGTCTCCATCTACTTTTACCAGAAGATTGAATCGAGAAAGAGGAGATTCTCATTTGGCAGGGTGGACAATTATAAAAGGTAATTTTAGTATCAATGTATGAAGGTACCTACCGGCTGCCACCCAAGGTTACCAAAGTAAAATGCAAAACAAGTTATACTGACTCAAGCTACCTATATTTTTGCATTTGTATAGCTTTGAAATAATCCTCATACACAGAAAGGTACATACTAAGTTTTCTTTATCCTGTTTTTACAGAAGGAGTATGTGATGTGTGTGTGTGAGAGATGGTAAACAGGGAAATTACTTAATGGACAGTGTTAAGTTTAGATTCCAAAGGGAAAAAATACCCATGAGACCAGAAGAATCTTCTATGAAGTAAAGCAATGAAATAACCCTCAAGGTGGTTAGGTCTGTGTTAAGTGTGGAATTATAGTTAATGTATATATTCATTATTATTTTTAATATCTACAGTTTTCATTTCAGAGACAAATACTGATGATTTCTTCCAGTTTTTTTCCCCTCTGTTTTAGGCGAAATGATTGATAAGTGATTGTTTTTTGGCAAGGAACAGGGAATTAACTGTAGAAATATTCAAAAGTTCTTGTTAATCAGAATTTTATGTCTTATTTACATTTAGACTTGGTTTTGACTAACCATATAAGTAGAAGTGCTTTGTAAATTATAAAGCCGTACATCAATATTAATTTACGTAACTTTAGTGACTTGGAGAGGAGGAACTCATCACTTAAGAAACATTACTTTTCTAAAATACTTCATATAACTATGGGTATATGGAAATAATTTTTATTATGGATAGAAATAAAAGAAACTCACTCCAGGGGTGCCTTTTAGGGTGAGGGTTGTATAGGTATCTATTTACATCAGATGGTGGAGAAAAAGAAGAAGACTCAAAAATGGAGAAGATGAACCTAAAAAGAGGAGATTGTGAGAACAATCTTAATACCACCTCTGCAGGTCGGAACATGCTTAACTTGAAATGCGTGCCTTGGTGCAGCACTTATAAATAATGTCAAGTAGGAGACCACATGACTTCCTTTTTCATTTTGCAGAAAGCAGAAGCCACTGGAGAAAAACGGCCAAGAGGCCGACCTAGGAAATGGGTGAGTAATAAGATACAATGTCTATTTTTTTCCTAATAAAAAGTGTCTGTTTATTTAAATGAAACGTGCTTTTATTTTATCAATTACATGAATTTGTAATTTACGGTTTCACGAATCTTTGAAAGGGTTAAGGCAAGCGAAAGATTATCACCACCCTTACCTACCATTAGGCTCCATGAGTTTACTCAGAACACTTTTCTTGCCTGGGACTGACTCCTTTTTCTCTCTCTTATCAATATGAAAAGAGTCTCCACTCTTCCTTCAAGTGGGGTAACAATGAGATGACTTGTTCAGTGGGTTGTGTAACGAAGGTTAAAGGCTATTATGAAACCTTAGAAGCTGATTACAAATGGAGATAAAGTTCAGATGAAATGTGTTTGAGATAACTTTTTAACGTTTTTTTTTCCTCTTTTTTTTTGTTTCCTTTGTGGCTTTGCCCTAGACACCTCTCATTTTCTAGGTGGTTTGTGTTTTTCCTCCCATATTGGCTTTGTTAAGAAACCAGGTTTTAATTTCCAGTTTTTCTTGCTTCCCTTAGTCATTCTTATATCCCGACGGTATCAACAGTTGGTTTCCGCACAAGCGCCCTTGACCCTACGGGCAGACAGATCTATTTGAGGCCAGAAATTCAGTGACTGCTTAAGAGCTTTGCTCATTTTACCACTTGAACTTGTTCCCTTTGCTGCTACTCTGCCATGCTTTTTTGGTTTGTCTTTCCCACGGACAGAACAGTCTCAATGGTGAATAGAACCGTTTCTCAAGGAAAAGAAAGGCGCGCTCTCTACCCAGTATCGCCTACGATGGGATCTTTGCCTCTCCCTGCCTCGCTTCCTTGGTTTATGCTTCGTGCTTCATCTTTTTTAAAGGTTTCTTTGCTGCTGTGCTGGATTGTATTTTCCTGTTAGTTTGCCATTTCTTCATCTAAAGTTCTCCATCCCTTTTTCTTTATACCCGGGTATTGCCTTTCATTTAATTTATTCATCTTGTATTTTTTTTCCCCTCTGCTCAACATGTGTTGGGATTAGATTTCTCAGCGCAAGCAAATGGGGTTGATCTTTAGATTAAACACATCTCAGTGTTACAGTGTAACCTTAAAGTAAGAGCATTTCATTCAGTGTTCTGGTCAACAAATGAATTCTCTTCAAACCTACTCACTGGGTGGTGATCATCTATTTAGACTATGTTTGATTACCTTATGAATATTAGGGAACTTGCTACTTCTTAAGTCTTCCTCTTCTTTCCCAGAAAGCTCTGAACATTGGAAAATTCTTCCATCCAACTTCCTCTAGCTTCTGCTCCCGAGGCCTCTATTCTGGGAATATACAGATTAACTGTTTTCATTTTCATTCATGATAGCCTTTCATATATTTGAAGACGATCAACATATATCCTTTTTTCTCTTTTCTGGTTTGAGTATCTCCAGTCCTTTCAGTTTTCCCCCCATAAATGAACATTCTTGTGACTCTCTTCTGACTATGCTTGATTTTTAGTCTAAAACTATGTTCTCCAGAATTAGGTGTCGCATTTTAGGCATGGGCTCCACAACCAGTGGATTTATCACCGATCTTGTACACAGGGTTCCAGCTACCTATCACTGCTTAATCCACCGTACCCAGAGTTAATAATGTAAAAACGAGCCATTTTATTATGCTCATGGATTATTTGGGTCAGGTATATGGTCCGGGCACAGCCCCAAGGCTTGCCTGTGCTTCAGGATATCTGCAGCCTGAGCTGCAAGGGCTCAAGCTGTAAAGGGTGACTCCAGTGCCGGGAACCTAGAATCTGGAGGCTTCCTCACTCACAGATCTGGTGCTTTCATAGGATTGGCTTGAAGTCTGGGTGCGTTTGGGAATGACTGGAGCACCAGCCCATGGGTGGCCTTCCAGCCTTATGATCTCAGGGTAGGTTTTTGGCCTTCTGACATGTACTCAGGCCTGCTGGAGAGTGTTCTGGCTAGTGAGGAGGAAGCTACAAGGCCTTTTTTGACTTTGTCTCAGACATCAAAAAGTGCTCCTTGCATTATACTCAAATGAGCACTCTGTTGACTAGGTTGGCATTGGCATACATACATATATATGAATATAGGGCTTCCATTTTCAAGCGTCAGAACTTTGATATCCTACCCCATGGAACTAATCAATAAGAAAGACCTGTATAAACCTTCTAATAGGCTATATATTAGAAAATAGATAAGTTGTTTGAAGTCATGAAATTAATTTTGCTGAAGTGAAATGAAATATAAGAAAATAGAATGGAAGTTAACCAGCATAGCAGGTACCAAGTATGGCTCGTTTGGGGATGTAATTGGTGTATAACAGTGTGTAAATTTAAGGAATACAACATGTTGATTTGATACATTTTATACATATTGCAAAATGGTTACCACAGTAACATTAGTTAATACCTCCATCACCTCTAATAATTAGTTTGTTTTTTGTGGTAAGAACATGTAAGATCTACTCTCTTAACTTTCAAGTGTATAATACAGTATTGTTAGCTGTAATCACATCACAGATCCCTAGAACTTATCCTATACCTGGAAGTATGTACCTTTTGACCAATATCTCCTCATTCCCCTCCCCCCCCACCAGCCTCTGTGGTTCTGCAGCCAGCCACTGAATTAATTACAACCTGTCTTAGCACTTTGAGATTCCTACAGTTTATACCTATCTGTCTTTATAGCTTTATTTCCTACTACTGATATTTCATCCTCACACAACTGATATTTCAGCCGAGCTGAAATAAAATATGGTTTAATTGCAGTATATGTTTATTTTTTCTCAATGGATTCTTGCTCACTTGGTGGAGATACGGATTCCAGGCAGCTGACCTTCCTGCTGGGTAAGAGGCCCCTGTGAAGCTTCCCCTACAGAACCCTTGTCTTTCTGAGAATCACTGGGTCATCCTCATTGATGCTCATGGCTTCTAATTTTTACTGGCCGTCTGAATGGAAAATGTTATGTAGTAAATTGTTATAAGCCACTGCTTTGTTCCAAAAGAAGAGTTGCTCTGCTTAGAAGAGGAAATAAAAGGAAATTGTATATTTTTTCTAGACAGCGTGTTTCCTCTTTGCTTGTATATATTCCTTTGGGCAGAGTATGCAGCCAGTCACAGCAAGGCATTTAATGGTGTTCTTCACTGGAAAGCTTGTGCTGAAGAAGTAAATTATTGCATTTTCCATAGGAAATGGGTTTGTACTTTATAGTCAATTCAGTTCTTTCCAACAATGTCATTCTCTGATTTCCTTGTATCAGAGATATATTTTTTCAGTTGACTGGATTTACTAAGTTAAGTGCATAGCCTAAAAGCCAAATTGCTTCCCTGTTATTCTTTCAGATAGTTTTCTTTTAAAGTTTTTTTTTTTTGATTTAAAAAAGATGTCTTGTAAATCCTATAGTGCCATGTAATAGGGCTGGAAAAAACATGTCTACAAGGTGACCCTCTCATGTGATGTGATTGGGATCCATAATTGGTCGGTTACTCGAAGGCAGATTAACCAAAATAATTGTGCCGGTCTTGCTATTGCAGGAGATGGAGGGTTGGCCAGTTAATGTCCTCCAATCCAGTGAGGACATTAACTAGATTTTGATTAAGAGCACTTCTATTTAGGTGGTTACCTTTCACTTGAGTCAGATTTTAGGTCTGTTCTTTGTAATGAGTTAGTTTGGACTTCCTATTTATTTATTTGTTTGCTTATTTATTTATTTATATTTTTTGGAAGTAGTGAATGATATAAGAAAGAGAAGCAGGACCTAACTTTTCTCCTAGTCTTAATTATTGGGAACGCAGGGTCTGGATTCAGATGGCTTGGGTTCAAACTCTGGCCCGTCACTTCGCTAAACTGTAATCTCCAGCAAATTACATGACCTTTTAAAGGTTCGGTTTTCTTATCTTTAAAAAAATGTAAGAGCAGTACCTTTTTCATAGAGTCATTCTGAGGATTAAATAAGATAATGCATGCAAAGGACTTATTCAAAAGGCATGGCATATAGTAAGTGCTCTCTAAATGTTAGAAGTTATGGTCAACTCTACTGTACACTTTCATGGAGATAATCACTGACAGCCTGAACTCTTGCTACTTACAGCTACCGGTAGTTACACATGGAGTGAGGCTATGCCTCACACTAACCAAGTACCTTGTAGGTATCATCGTGTCTTCAATATGTCTATGCTAAATATCATAAATTTTGAGAATTGCTAATAAAGAATACTAAAGTACATTGTAAATCTATTTACAGTTAAAGGGAACATTTTAAGTATGGTTTTATAATAATCCTTTCTTCTCATTGTAGAGGTTCGGTGTCTTGTGTGTTTTACCAATTCGAAACGTAGAATTTCTTCTCTTTGCCTCAGTATGCACATGAGAGATGATACCCTGGTTTCTCAGATCCCATGTGGAGTTTCAGTAGTCAGGCCTTCTGTCAACTGAATCAAGGCATTTCATATTTGCACTCTTCAATACTTGCCCAGGAAAGGAGCTTGTCGCATATCTGCTTTAGTGATGGAAACTATTTGGAAAAAGTTTTAGAGAATGGAGCTAAGGCTCAAGGCTACAATGAAAAAATAAAGATGTTAACCTCACGTATGAAAGGCTCCCTCCAGATGTTGCCTAGTGAAGCCACTGGTGCTTCTGGAGGAAAAGAAGGACAAAATAATAAAGAATAAATCAATGGGAAAAAGATGTTTTTGGGTGTTTTGCTTACAGAATGTCTTTTTGAGAAAGGAAATTAACAACAAAAGGAAAACACTCTCCAATCTGAATTAATAGTTTTTAAATTAAAAAAAATTGATTCTGGAGATACTGAGCTTGACCTAGAAATTGACCCAAGGACCAGATGCTGAAGCTTAAGTTCAATTGGTCACTAGGAACTAACTAACAAAGCCCAGCTGTTTTCTGGGCTCACCGATCAGCTTAATTCAGTGCTGGGGTGTGTGTGGCAGTATGTTGATTTAAAAATATGCATCCTAGTCCATCTCTTCCTGGGGACAGTTGTCTTTCT